AATTTTTTTTTTGAGTTTGGCTGTAACTATAATATGGATCTTGGATTTAATTTGACATTTATAGAGAAAGAGAAAAAATTGTGTTTCCTATTTTCATATTTAGAAATTTCTGATCAACATTCTTGAACTTGGTGCTAATTAAGCTCCTAAAAACTTCTTACCATTCTGTTTTACCCTTCTTAATCATAAGCATTAAAACCTCTGGTAGCTTTCACTCGGAGTCCCTGGTTTTAACTTGAAACGGCTTAGGGTAGAAATTTTGTTAGCTTTTTGTGTGTTTGGATTTTGTGTGTGTATTCTGTTTTTAACTTTCAACTTGAGTTTTAAGATCATCAATCAAAGGCTTTTCTTTCAAGTCAGTGGCACTGATCTCAATTGCAGGACTTAGACGGTCAACATTTCCCTCATGCTATTAAAAAAAATTTAAGCATTGAAATAGAGTATTTTAGGAATTTGTGCTCCGCTGATCTTTTCATCACACATCTACATTTTGAAATGAACAAATAAATTAGATATAAAAAAACTCAGGAAATGTTCTCCCACTGTTTCCCCGTTTCTCCCTCCTTCACTCTTTTTGGACAAAGGTAAATTATCGACTGCTGTACTAGCTTTCAGCAAGCTACAAAGTGACTGATTATAGCTCTCTGTATTTTAGAATACATTCATTTACTCAGGCTGTCTCTTTCCTTTATTTAAATGTTTTCCTGCAAACATTTTCTTTTTCCTTTTGAACTATTGAAAATGCGTCTCATCTCCCAACATTCTATAACCCCAGTGGACATTATAATCAGCCTGTGCTTTTGTCTTTCAGATGGCACTTATTTGTGGGGTGGTATGTCGGTGTCTGTCGGTTGTTTTCATCTGCTGAATACAACTAATTTTTGTTTATGGGTTTCAACGAAGCAGTGAAAACAAAGTATTGACGTCCAAACTGATGGCTGTGGCAGGATCTTGTACACCTCCTTACCCACACCCCAAATTTAGAGCAAATTGGTTTAGCCTTGTTATTAATAAATCTGTTAACTGCATCAAATTGAGTCTTCGAAGTTTTGCTTCCAGATAGGATTCTATGATGGATAATATTATAAATTTAAAACTTTACCAGGTTTTTAAGAGAACGCCTTAGTTTCAGCAGAACAAAATCCACTTTCTCCAGATTGGAGCAAGTCCCCTTGATGGGCCTTCTGACCAGAGGAGAATTCACATTGGATGAAATGAATCCAGAGGAGACTGAAGTGAATCTTGAGTTCATTTCTGATTTTCATTTGCAAGTGAATCCAGTGTTAGGTGTGTGGATTTCATGTTTGGTTCAAACTCTGAGGCTTGGTATCACCTTGTGGGCAGAGCTTTGTAGATGTTGTTGCTTTTCTACTACCCTGTGCAATCTGCTGTTTGATATATGCATGACTGAAAGGTTTGTGCAACTGTCTATCCTCCACGCATCCCCCCACCCCCTCTGCTCTTATTTCTTCCCACATGAAGTATCGTTGATTTTGTTAGGAAGAAAAGCCCTTTTAGAAATTGCCTATTTCATAAATTGTCTAGTGACACAAGGGGTTGAATGCTGAATTCTTGTCTCATTTATTTTGAAAACTTTGCGACTGAACTCACCTTAATCAATGAGCTCAATGTTGTCTCCAATAAGTTATGTGTTGGATATATTGATTGGGAAGGATTTTAGAAAACCCGTCTGGGGTTTATAATGTCAGCAGTGTTTTGATTATGAAAAGAGTTGGAACCTGGGGACATGGAACCAGGTGGCGAATGTCCTAAAGCCAGTGGTGACATGGTGGACTGGTTCCCTCCTGGGATCTAGTTCATGCCCTGCACTTTAACTGTGGTGACTGGCTACTATAGATTCACTTTTTTGCTCATTAAAATGTTAAAAAATCAAACTGTACATAAAAAGATTTGTGAAAATATGAACTTGGGAATTGATCTGGATAGCTGGCACAATTTTCCCCACTCCCTGCCTTAGCAATGAGGTCATTTACATTTCATCAGCCGTACTGCATCTTGAAGATCTGATTTATGTGGCAGTAGTTGAGGTTGTACTGAGGCTGGTTGTCTGAAAGAGCTTGTGTAGGCAAGACGAAGAGGGGAGAAAACAGAAAATTACCATTTACAAAGAAAGTTCCCTAGCCAGAGACACAGATCCTAGTGAGAAAAAAGGGGTTGCTAACTGCTTAGTGACTTTTTCCAGTAAAGTTAATATTGAAAGGCACTCTGCCATAAATAGAATGCTCAAATTATATTTAAATCAGGGTTTTGAAGTCCCCTCTCTTGGGGAGTGGTGCTTTTCCTCTTCAGGTAATTGTGTTTTTCTTTGGAAATAGAGGATAAGGTGGTTAAATGTGTATATTTAGGCAAAAATCAGTATTAAGAAAATTGGTTTGTTTCAGCAGGTTTTATTTAGAAGACACCTTGCTTGTTTTTCCCTGTCTTCCGCTGATAAAACTAAGAAGATTTTTCAGTTCTGATTGAGATAATGTGTGAATATGCCTAACACAGAGTAGATGTTCATTTCTGTTTTCTCCTCTGACAGCACACCACTGGCTTGTTTGACTTAAATTGGAATATCAAGCTCTTGTAATATCACAAACATGAAGAAACATATTGTAAGGCACAAACATGTGCCTACATTTGCCTATATTCCCCTCTCTCCTCCCCTCCTCCTGCCCCATTGCTTAATTAGACTTATCACTGCTTTCTTGGGTAAGAGGAAAGCTCTTGGGAGGTGGGCTATACCCAGCCTACATTGGGTATTTTGATATTTGTTCTAATATTATCTGACAGACAAGTTCACGGTTGGTTATTACTCTTGACATTAGAAAGTGGTAAGTAGTTTCTATATTGTAGTGAGTAATAAGTTGGGCATATTAGATTCCTTTGACTCTGCTGTAGAGCACAATGCTTCCTTGGAGCCATGGGGGTCCTTTCTTTCAAAAATCTTGAGGCCTTTTGGCAGCTCCACTCCAGCATAGAGTAGAGAAGCACTTCTGCACCTGTCACTTCTGAGGGTAAAGGATAACTGTCTTTGTAGCTGATGTTGGCAGTGAGTGAGCACTGGGTACTGAGTTTTAAAGGATGCTCAGTACATATACTGAAGTCAGGAGATGCTTTGTGGTATCTGAAACCTGATGGTGTGAAAGGAAATTTGTAAGGAATTTTTTTTTTTTTTGCATGTAAATTGTAAGAGTTTGGTGCATGTGGGTTAGAATATGTTTTAGACTGCAGACATTAAAATGATTTCTGTGACCTTTTTCCCAATATTTGCCTGATACTAACATTATGCACTGAGAAATGGCTCATTTTTTCTGATTCTTGATAAGCTTTTGCAGTTTATTTAAACATAATTAGTTTTAAAACAATCTATATGGATTTCTGGATGCCGCATTATGGAATTAGCTGATGTATCAATAATGCCTCATAGAATGTGCTGAAGTTTTGTTATCTGCTTTTTTTCATTTTTTTAGTTTCCTCTGCCTTTACTCTTTCGTAACATGCCTTAACAGTGCTGTGATATACATAGTACCAGTCCAAGATGATATTAAAAAATAGGATATGCTCAATTGAATTATGTAGGCGGAACATGCTCTGGCAGAGCAAGTCAATGTGCTTTCTGCTTCATTGAGTGGGTTATTAGATTGATGTGGTTTATTTCTTGAATGATAGAACTGGTTTTAAAAATAAATGAAGCGAGAAGCATCAATTCAGTTAGCATTGATAATTCATTATTATTGGTTAGAAAAGTGCTGCATTTGTAAACTGATCTATAATTTATCACTTGGATTAGGATTTGCAATGGGCAGGTTTGTTTTAATTTGAACCAGCTTCTCAATGACTGAACAATGTGTTCTTCATTTTGTCTTGAAGTTGGGATTTTAAATAGTTAAAAAGCAAATCAAATGCATGAAAGGAATACTTTTTTAAAATTTATAATGTTGGTCTGTGAACTTATGATAAGCACCAACTGTGGGCTGTCCAAGTCTGCAGTTAAATTAAGTCAAGCTAGAGAAAATTTTATGAAGGAAGTAATAAGTAATTACTTGTATATGTGTTTAGCTATGTGTATGTATGCCGTGTACGTGGAAATGTGTCTCTTGGGAAAAGTCTCACACACGCACATGCACGCACCCACTGTGTATTGTGGCTCATATAGTGGTGTTCTTAATGCAAGAAGCTTCTCTTTTATGAATAAGTCTTTGAAATGTTGCTCTGCTTTTTGTTTCCTTTTTGTACACTTCCCCTGAATAATGCATTTGGTCTTATTACCTACATATTTGTAAAAAGATGTTTAATCTGGTAGTTTGCTTTGGATTTTCACAAATTACAAGCAGGTAAGTGTTCCCACTTACAATGACACTTACTGAAAATAGTGCATACTTAAAATTATTATTGTTTGATTACAAAATAAATTTATGCCAGAGATGGCAACTTCTTTATAAAGTAAGAAAATGAAGTTTTAAACTCTAAAAAAAATGTAGTTGACAACATTCAGAGACAATTATCTTCATGTTGGCTTTCTATTCTGCTTGCGATTTGGCCTATTGATGTAGGGAAGCGTTGTCTAATCCCGGCCCCCTCTGTTCCTAGGTAACAGGCAAAAACGGTGCCAGCAACAGCGGCCCTGCCAGGCCAAACCCATGTGGCTCAGTGTTATTCACTCTGATCCATATGGTCAGGCTGGAGATGGTCCCTGGAGGGGTGTTAACACTCAGCAACCCAACCGCCTCCCTCCCTTCAGAGCTTTCCTGCATGGCCCCTGCTGCTTGCCCATGTGTGATTCTTGATTAATTTTTCATTTTTAATGAAGTTTGATCATGTTTATTATTTCTCATGATTGACTGCCTGTACTCCTCCCATGTAATTGATAAAGCCCATATTTCTTCATCTGTCTCCTCTTTCTTCAGGGTAAAGTTGCTAGACTGTGTGCCGTGCTTAATGCTAGATTTATTGGTCCCATTAGATGTATAAATTATCTCTCTTTCTCTCCACAGGAAGTTCTACAGACTTTGACCAAGTTTTGTTTCCCCTTCTATGTGGACAGGTAGTGTCAGATTTTCAAACTTTACTAGAAAAAAAAGTGTCAATAAACCTGCTATGGAAAATAAAAACCATACCATTCTTAACATTCCGTCTGTTTAACCAAGATTTAAAACGTCTATGTTTGAAGGGGAGTTGCAGTATTCTCCTTTCCTGGGGATTTTATTGACACTATCAAAAAGTTTAAAGCTTGGAGCTTTGCATTGGTTGGTCTTTGAGGTGTATTTTGCATGACATTAAATTTTTGATTTTGGTTATCAGACTTGAACCGTGATTAAGAATGGTTGGTATTTATTCCAGTGCTATTTCATTTTTATTTAAGTATGAACATATTTAAGTAATGTTGCATTATTCCATGGCCTTATGAGTATTATATGGACTTCGTTTTTCTTTGATTCAACGTAAAATTTAAATTACCACAGGCCTATCTTGTTTAAAGGTGTTCAGCTATTTAAAAGACATGTTGCTTAATAGTGTCTTGCATTTTAGGTGTCTAAGAATGGTATCTCTGGGGAACTAAGCATTTTCTATAGGTTCTATACAAAAATATAAAATCATCTGAACATTTCCTTAAATTTTGCATTATGGTAAGCTCTTGGAAAGGTATGCATATAAGAACTCCAAGATAGTTGAAATAGTCTGGCGGATTAAAACAAACAAACAAACAAACAAACACTGGTTAATGGTAACAATTTTGGAAGAGCTTTTTTTCCCTTTTTAAACTATATAAAAACTAACAATACTAATAAAATGTCAAAACAGTCCTCTTAATCTTATTTTCAAGAAATGTCTACTGTGTGTTTCATTACATTTTAAGCATTATTTTTGCAGTCATTTGTCCACTTGATTGTTTACTCTTTTTAATTTTCTCTTAGAGAATTGAACTATGCACTGTGCCTACGTTATGTCTTAAAAAGTCCACTTTTAGTGACAGTTTTTAGAATATATTATAAGTAATAACTGCCATAATATGTTCTAAGAAAGCTGTAAAATGGCCCATCTTCAGGAATAGTCTATCTTGTATTTTAGTGTACCCAAACCTGGCAGGCCTGAAGGATTTTAGTGGTTTTGAGTGCACGTGGGTAGTGTGCTGCTTGGTCTTTTCTACACTTTTGTAGGAGCGGTGTCCTGCTTTGTTTGGCAGAAACCTAAAAATGGTGTGAGATGAGAATTGGTAGCCAAAGGAGTTTAAAAGAGTGCTAAAAAGCAAAAAGAGTACTAAAAAGCAGCACTGGAATGTTGCCAACCACTTATAATCTCTGTTTTCCCTGGTTCTAACATGTTATTTTTAAGCCAATCAACCATTGTAGTATTTCCAGACTTGTGCCTTTTTAAATCCTGGTACCAGGGTTGTTTTAGTAGTTAACGGGTTGATGCTCAAAACAGAATAGCCTTAATTTTAAGAGGGTCAGTCTTTGTAATGAGAGTCCTCTTGTCTCTTCTTTATCCTGTTCCTTCTAAAAATAGCAAGGAAGTAGGGTTTTGTGTAGAGACGTTTAATGCAAACTTCACATTTATATGTATGAATTAGCGATGCATGAAATTTCCTCCAGTCACTTATAAAATGTATTACAAATTATGGCAAGGGCATATTTATATAAATTAATAAAGCTGAAATGTTTTTTAAATGTGGTTAGGTATCTAACAAAGAAAAACAAAAATACATTTTTACATGACTTCTTGTAAGAGTGGTGATCTGTTTTGGATAGGTATTCCTTAATTAACTTTGTAAACTAATATTGAAAGAAATGCACAATGAGATTAAATCCACCCCAACACACACACACCCCTCTCTTCCTCTCATACCAACCACACTGCTCTATTTACCTGTCTGGGTGATTACATTCTTAAATGGACAAAAAGCAGAGTCCCTAAATAATTCTAAAATCTTTTTTGTCACCAGTGGCCTGATGCATTTTTGTTGTTGTTAGAAGAATATTTTTCTTCTAAAAACACTTCTCTCTAGATCACCCTCCCCTAATCATGTTTCTCATATTTTTTCACAAAATGATTTGGGAACAGAAATGTCCATTTATGGATCTATTTTAATCCTTGCCTTGTACAGTGGTTCTTTCTTACATTTCGTTATATTCCCACCCTATAGGTGTCGGTAACTTTTATTGATACCAAAAAAAAACCCAAACTCCACTTTGAGGACTATATTTTTTCTCTTCTCTTCCCCACTTCTAACCTTTGCAGAGTTTCATGTAGAAGAGATAATAATAATGACGTTTACTTACAATAAACACAAAGGTTTTAATGTTACTATTTTTTTTTTATTACTTTGCAGTTAGCACGGTCAAATGGCTATGCCCAGACTCTGAGGCCCACAGAGCCCCCCAGATGTATTTTTGATATTGTTTGCCTTAAAAAATATGTCAGCATGGGAGATGAGTAATGCCCTAGGTGATTACGTTCAAAAAAGAAAGCTTCCTAATCTTTTCAGTATCTTTGCTTTTCTACCCCAAGGAACAGTATGTACAACTTTCTGACATTTCTAGTCTATATCAAGAGTGGGATTTTCACAGACATCATCAAATCACCCGTTAACATTGACATCTTACTGTCTCTTTTGTTGTTTTAAGATTTTTCTTTCTGAAACTAGGACTTATGAAACATAATAATGCCAGTAGCTCTTCAAAAGAAAGTGCTTTCTCATGTATCACCTCATTTTATCCTCCTATCCTAAGAGATGAGACCAGGTACTGTTATCTTCATTTGAAAAAAATCTAAGCTGCAGAGAAATTAGAATTTGCCCTAGATCCCCTTAGGTTGCTAGCACAACGTAGATGTCCATCCCCCAAATGAATGAATACATTTTTCTGTAGAACATCTTGTGGGAAGATGAGTCACCAAATAGAGCAGAAAGAAGGAAATTTATATTTGAGTTCCTAATTGATTCTAGTCAGTGTGCTGGCCATTTTCACATTAGTACTTCATTTGTTTTTCCCTGCAACTCTAAAAGATAGATGATGGTGGTAGCTCTTTTACAAAAGAGCAAAGGAAGGTTCCAAATGTGTAGCATTATGTTGGGTGTTATGGAAATGGTATTAGACTTGGAGTTCTGTCCTCCATGTGTTTCTCAGTCTAGTTCAGGAAGTATTATAAGTACACGTTAAACAGTATCTCTCCAAAAGGACAGTGAGGTTAGGGAAGACTGAGATGGTCAGAGAAAACTTTCACAGTGGGGGAGACTTGTGTTGAGTCTGCAAGGACCATAAGAAGTGGGTAAGTGGAAGGGAGAGCCTAACACCCCATATGTGCTGAAGAGCAAAGCAGAGGAGAAACCATGAGTGAGCCTAGAGATTGTTCAGCCCAAGCAGATGGAGCCTGCTGGGGAGAGGGTGACATGTACCGTGATAGCTTGGACTCTGGCTACAGGAGGCCTTGAAAATGTGTGCAAATAAGACGAAATTCATCTGGTTCAAATGTCCCATTTTACAGAAGGGAAACCAAGATTTGTAGAGGTGAAATGATTTGCTTATGGTCACAACTAAGTAATAACAGAGCTGGGAAAGAAACACATACTCTTATTCCCAGTGCAGAATCAATCAATCCTTCCTTCCTGCCTCCCTCCCTTCCTTCCTTCCTTCCTGATTTATTTGTCAGAGAGAGAGAGAGAGCGTGCACGCACACGCACAAGCAGGGGGAGTGGCAGGCAGAGGGAGAATCAGGCTCCCCAATGAGCAAGGAGCCTGATGCTGGACTTGATCCCAGGACCCCGGGATCATGACCTGAGCTGAAGGCAGACACTTAACCGACTGAGCCACCCAGGTGTCCCTAGTGCAGAGTTATTTCTACCTTATGTTGTCCTTGAAGCTCTTGGTGGAGAGGAGTCTTGAAATGACAGTGCTGAGAGATCCCTGTTATCACTCTCAAAAACTTATCCTTATTGATGAAAGCTGTTTCTTAAAAAAAAAAGAAAAAAGAAAAGAAAAAAGATTTGTATCCCATTTTGTACGGTGGTGCTACTCGCTTGCACTTGGTAGCTGGCAGCCTGCTTCCGTCAGAGCACTTGAGACTCACTGGAGAATGGAAAAGCTCTTCCTCCCCAGCTTTGTGCTTATCCTCTTTCGGAACCCAGTGAGTCGGCTATCATTTAGTTGCTCTGTAAATCATCCTGTATCCCAGTACGCACAGATGACATGAGCACAAAATGAAATGACATAATCTTTTAAGGGTCAAAGGAAGGGGTAGTTTAGTGATTTAGGTTGTAACCACAGATGCAGATGTGATTCACACGCCATTTACCGTTTTATTATGTCCGTTATGTGCCAGGCGCTGTGCTGTGTTCTCCTCCCGCTCTAAAAATTTACACATTTGCAACTTACCACTACCGTAATGCCATATATGGGGAAACAGACTCAGAGAGGTTCAGTAACTTGCCCAAGGTCCCACTCCTAGTAAGTGGTAGAGCTGCTTTTGGAGCCCCCATTAATCTGACTTCCAGTTCCACCTTCCTTTTTCTACTTGGTCATACCGCCTCCATTAGATCCATTAGACTATAACTAAAGTAACCAAAAAAACTTCCAAATTTCTCTTTTTAAAAAAGATCTTATTTATTTGAGAGAGAGCGAGAGCATGCACGAGTGGGGGCGCGGAGCAGAGGGAGAGAGAGAAACAGGCTCCCCGCTGAGCAGGGAGCCAGATGCGGGCTTGATTCCAGGACCCTGAGATCATGACCTGAGCTGAAGGCAGATGCTTAACCGACTGAGCCACCCAGGCAACTCTCAAAATTTCTTTCAAAAGCAATGTATATTAATTATAGAAAAGTAGCAAATTCTGATAACTGAAGAAGAAACCTACGCAGAAAATGAAACTCAAGTGCGTGATTAGTGTGCTTGTCTGTTATCTGCCCAGACCTTTGCTCTTGTTCCACGTCTACACGTTCATCCTGCTCTGTTTTGCAAAACTGAATTCCTTTGGCCCACTTTCATCCCTTGTGTTTCATCCTTGGTTTAGTCCTTTGGTTTGGTCCCATGAGTTAAGCTGCACCCCGTGATC